GGTAGTGTGTGCTGCTGATGTCCTCTGAAACCCTTCTGAACACTGAAGCCCTCACCGCCATCATCACTGCTGCGACCCCACTGCGATCATGCAGCCGCTGCTTCCCCTTCCGCTTCCGCTTCCGGCTGAGAGCGTGCCCACAGCGGCGCCTGCTGGAGGAGGACGCGTGCTGACACTCAATCTGTGCCTTTGACAAGATGTTATCGAGACCTCTGAATATGTTTCTCTTTTCAAAGAAAATCAACAAGCATTTGAATTCTAATTCATATACATTTAGCCGAATTAAACATTTGACAAAGCTTGCAAAAATCAGATTTTGATATATTTGCATGCTTAAATAGCCTATTTGTTTATTTTTATGAATATGTTATTGGGAAGGCTTTGCGTTTATTTATTTTGTTTTATTTATTTTGATGTATTATATTTCGAAGTGTTTGTACAGTTAATTCATTCATTTATTTGCAGTTGTTTAGTTTACTCATTTGTGGTAGTTTTTTACTCATTCATTTAATTTAGTAATTGCATGCTTTCACATTTGTTTATTTTTATTCATTTATTATTTTGGCAGATTTGCCCCATTTGCTTTTATTTTATTTGTATTGACGTTTTTTTATTAATTAATTAATTTGCACGTTTGGGAATTTGTAAATTTTGTATTCACTAATTATGTGGCAGGGTTTGCACATTAGTTTTTATTATATTTGTATTAATTGTATTAATTTCTATTTTGTCAGAGTTATTTTATTTGTTTATTTGCATGCTTGCACATTCATATTATTTATTTGCACGTTTGGGAATTTGTAAAAACATTTTATTCACTATTTATGTGGCAGGGTTTACAAAATGAACAAATTCTCAAAATATATAAATAAATAAATTAAGAAATAAACTAAAAAATCGTTAAATAATACAAATAAATATATTTAAAAAACGCAGAACCTGCTACAAAAATAAATGAGTAAAATAAACGAATGTGCAAGCATGCAAATAAATAAATAAATTCATTTTGACAAAAGTAGAAATTCATACAATTAATAAAAATATAATAAACACAAATGTGCAAACCCCCAGAAAATTAAATGTGGAGGAAATAAATACATAATTAATTAAATGAATGAATAAATAAATAAATAGTGAATAAATATAAAAATGTGGATTTACACAGAAATAAATAAATATTATTAAATATAAATGTATTGAATATAAATATGAATGTATTTAATTAATTAATTATGTACTTAACGATTTATTTATATATTTCAACATTTATTTAATGATTTAATTTTGAGTAATTTGGCCCTCCATAGTTTTTAGCACGTGTCTAAAAAATAATATTAATAAAATAAAATAAATCAGTGTGCGTCCGCAGCTGCGCATCATCCCGCCTCCAGCTTCAGCGCAGCGCCTGCGCTCCGCGGCTCCGGTTCACCGTCTCCTCGCGAACATGGCGGCGCCTGCGCTCTCCAGCCGGGCTGGTTCAGCTGGCAGCAGCCCCACCGCCACCCCGAGCAGCACCAAACTCGTCCCGCAGGCCCCCGAGCTGGACTTCAGGTCCGGAGCCAGGATCGAGGAGCTCAACCGGCTGATCGCCGAGTTCAGCAAGCACGAGCAGCGCGAGTATGACGACCAGCGAGCGCTCGAGATCCACACGGCCAAGGACTTCATCTTCTCCATGCTCGGTGAGGAAGAGCTCTGCTTCTGACACAATGCAACTCATGCATGCATCTGAAAGGGAAAGTGCGCTTTTGCGCGTTCAGTGCGTCTGTTTGTCTTTCTTTGCGCTTCGTTCTGCGTTAAGCAGCGGATGGGTGTGTTTGCACTGCTCAACCCAACACCCTCAACTCGTGTTTGCACTGCTATTCTGATGCTTTATTTGCATGAGATGTCAAAATCAAGTCATCTGCTTGCTGTTAAAGGAACAGCTCAGCCAAAAATAAATATTCTGTCATTATTTACTCACCACCATGGCTGGATGTCTTTCTCTGGAAAACAAAAGGAGATGCTCAATTTCCAATCCTCTCTGCTTTCTGTTTTCATTCAGTGAAAGTGTAAGGTCTGCAGTGGCTGTTAAGCTCCAGAAAAAACAAAAATGCACTTTTGAAGGCATAACATTATACATTTTAAACTGTTATTCACTAAAACAAAAATTCTGAGTAAATGATAACAGAGTTGGCATTGCTTATGAAAAATAAGTCTCTGTTTTCATTCAGAGAAAGTGGAAGTTCAGCAGTGGCTTTTAAAGGGATAGTTCACCCAAAAATGAAAATGTGATGTTTATCTGCTTACCCCCAGGGCATCCAAGATGTAGGTGACTTTGTTTCTTCAGTAGACACAAACGAAGATTTTTAACTCCAGCCGTTGCAGTCTATCAGTCGTATAATGCATGGCAATGGTAACAAAATCTATGAGAGTAAAAAAAACATGCACAGACAAATCCAAATTAAACCCTGCGGCTCGTGACGACACATTGATGTCCTAAGACACGAAACGATCGGTTTGT